TTCCAGCCCTGAAAGCAAAAATTCCATATCCACATCGCGCAGAATTGTATGACACAACCAGGATATTTAAGGGTGCAAGGGCGCTAAATTTAAAAGATCGAGGCGACAAATGGCATGACACGATAAAGAAAAATAGCCGCAGTAGGCAAAGGTCGCCCTGCGTTTAATTTTTTCACAGCTTAACTATATAAAATATAGAAAGGGCTGCATATGGTTTTCAAAGAAAAGATTTTTATAATAAAATAACAACCATTTTTGACTCGTACCATCTCTTTAACCTTTATCAATTTAGTGCTCAACTTGACCTACTTTGGGTAAATTTCAGTATGGGAAATAGCTGTATGATAACTCTGAGGCCGAATTTCTCCTAAATGAAGATATCAGCACGTTGGGTTGCATATGGATATTTTTTCTTAAGAAGCATAAAGGTATGAAGGTCTGGATGGGGGGGGGGGGGGGGGGGGGGGGGGGGGGGGGGGGGAGGTAGAGATGTCAGTTCTCAGTTAAAATTTCGGCCATTTATCAGTTCTCAGTTAGATTTTTTGGGGTCATTTGTCAGTTGTCATTTAAATGACTGTTAATAATTAACTTGGCGAGATAATTATTACTTTCCGACCCTATTTTTGGCTAAAAAGCCATATGTAGCGTAAACTCGAAAATTAAGTCGAAGATAACTACAATAGGAACTCCTTCTTCTCAATTCTGGAATGAAATAATTCCAAGATCTTCCAAGTGACTTTCAGTCTTTGTTTGAAGGGTGTTTGAATAAGTTACAACTCTTCTGCACATAGACTTCTGTTTGCCCGGGCTCAACATCGAAACATTCCTTTCAACCACCTAGCCTGTCAAAATGTTGGTAAGCTTTTGTCGCTGCTAAGCCCTACTGGCTGATCTCCAAAGTTAAAATCTTTTGGTGGAATCTTATTGCTTCTTGTTGACGGACGGTGGTAAAGTGATAGTCGTTGTTAATTGAAGCTATGCTGTTGTGCAGGTGGTGCATTCCCTCTTGGGAATAAAGGTAAAGACAGACCGGGACGGATACCCGATGTAGCTTTTATGGTCGCGTCGCATTATCGCTTTCAAATTATATTTTTTCTTTCGCCAGCATTTCTTTAAGGGATTTTCTCTTTTTTGAGAGATGATCGGAGGTTTTGTAAAAATTGTTTTCAGCAAGGGATGATTGTGTATCAGACTCCAATGTTCCATCAATATTTGTTTTTAAGGTGGTACATTGTGACAAAAGGCAATAAACGTTCGTGACCTTTTGGCTTTTGAGTATGTGTAAGGGCCGATTGTCTAGAGGCAAAATTGACCCCTGTCAGAGACCTTTTTATGATGTTTTCTGGGTACCCTCTTGCCTTGAGGCGTTGTTTGAATTTCAAAAGGCCCTCTAAAAATGTTTTTTTTTCGAAGAGTTTGTTCTTAGCAATCTTATCGCTTCGCCTTTAATGAAACCATATTTTACGCCTGCTGGGTGGCACGAGGCGAACTGCGTAAATTGGTCGGCTTGTAAAGGGTATTAATTGGTTTTGGTTATCATTTATTTCATTAAAGATATTCATTTCATGGTCCTAGTTTTCGTCATTGCGACGATAGTGTGGCGTCTTTGGTGGTTAGATTTCGTCTTCCTCACTAAGACCTGATTTAATTTATTCCGCCAGAGATTTGTCAAAGGCAGTCACTGTTGCAACTGTTTATGTTGGCTACAACAGTACCGACGGTTTCGACTCTTCACGAGTCTCTTCCGCTGTTGATTGAAGATGGTGTTGCAATAGCAGAGTCTTTCAGGGAAAGGTAGAGTAGTGTTCTCTATTCCGTATCTAAGTGGAAATTGCTTCCGTGACCTTTTTATACGTAGATGGTTAGGCTTGAAGATCGAGTTTGCATCATTCCTATTGGCCCTTGGTGTTGGTTAGGGAACCAATCAGGTACAGGTGATTTCGATCCTTCTCGATCTGAGGGTG